CCAAATCGATGGTAAACCGTCTCTATAATACTCCTTTGTTCGGAGTTACATGTCGGAAGCAGTGGCCATGGGTATAGCAAATCCAATAGAAACCGAGGTTGAATATCCGGAAAATTTTGTAATACCAACGCACTTGACTCGAGCGATATTGGAAATTCGGGAATTTCGATTCCACCACCATCGTCATCAGATTGCACGGACCCGATCACATTTGCGACGGAGATAAGCCTCTCCAGGATTTCTGAATTGGCACCTGGTGATAATCGGCGCAAATGTTTGACTTGATCCTCAAATTTTGGTTGCCTGACGTCTCTACACTGAAACCTTGACCTGAGAGGAGGATCCAACGGATGCCCAACATATGGAGGAATGGGCAGCCCAAGAGCTATCACGATGAAACGTTCTGACACTTTGACCAACTTCCAACCATCCATGACACTCTTCTTAACCGTTTTAAAAAGGGAATCATAACGTTTTGGATGGACCAAAAATCTACCATCTTCCAGGGCCATTTCTCTGTTTTCCAGTAAATTATTTAATATCGGGAGCACATTTCTTTCGGCCTTTTCAATTCCATCCAAAACGAGCATTCTACCCTCAGTGGCAGCCCGTACGCAAGATTGATCTAAATAGAGTGCTGTCCCTTTAGAAATTTCTCGGCGTTGTTTAAGATCTGAATCCGTGCAATCCTTGGATAATGGCACATATTCGATTTCTCGATTGGTAAATTGTGCATACTTGAGAACCAGCTTTCTGCGCAAATGGCCAGGAGGTCTGTGATGAAAATGAGGTTAGTCATAAAGATATAAATTGAAATGACAATACAAGATACTTGCCCCACTAGAAACATGTCTTGCCCAAGTTTGTCTTTTTGCATCATCCTTATTGCACCAAAATTCGAAATTAATTTCATAGAATGTTGAATTGATAAAGCCAAGGCACAATTACAAACCATCTCAAGTGCTTTAGCATTTCCTGAAATTACAAACCAATCGCGATTATTTGACGAAGAAGAAATGAATCGTAAATTTGTCAGTAAAATTTCCTAGTCTCACTTGCGAATCTTCGTAAAATGGTTCCGGACAATCAGGAACTAACTCTGGGCTCTCTGGATTCATGACTCTCAACGAGACATCACCAATTCGAATCGTTGCCACTAATTAATGACAAGATAGATATAAAGTTTATGGAACAGTCATTCGAATTTTTTT